GTGAGAGCAGAATGGAGGGGGCAGCAGGGGCCTCGCCTCGGGGCCCTGCTTTGGGTGCCACTGAGCCAGCCCCGGCCCCATCGGTGGCTTTGCCACGGGCAGTCCCGGGAGGAGGGAGCGGTGTCTCTGTGAGCCGGGGGTGCCTGGGGATGTGTGGACCTGGCACGTGGGGTGGCCGTGGGGCTGGGCAGGAGGGTCCCGGCCGAGGTCTCCCTCCAGCTGGGTTTTGAGGCGGGTCATAGCGTGTGGCTGGATCAAACGAGTGAGACCTCTCAGTGCTATTAGTGGGGACGTCTCCAGGCTTGTGCCATAACGGCATTACGCCGGGGCTGCCGGTATCTCCTCTGCAGCGTACGCGGATATTAGCAGCAAATCCCTCCGGCCTCCGATAGCACACGCTGTCCTGAGCACGGCGCTCCTTTGAATTCCCTAATCCCCCTTTAATCCCGTTTGACTTGGATGCAGCAGGCTAAATAGAGCGCGCGTCTGCGAGGCTGGCGCCCGCCCCCGGTACCTGTCCCGGCTGCTGGCCGTGCCGGTGCCTGCGAATCCCTCCCGTACGCCGGGCTTTTCCTTCACCAGCTGCCAGACCTCTCTTCCCAGGCACACCGAAGCCCCCTGCCAGCAGCCCCAGCCTACTTCAGCTAGGACTGGATGAAAACAGACAAATTAAAGTGTACCATTACTGAAAGGTGGGACCTGGCTCAGGAGAGACGGTGGCGGGGCCCCTCGCGATGTTTCGGCGATGCCCAGCCACCTCTGCTGCGTCTCTGTGCTGCGCCCTTGAAATGAGGTCTCGTCACAAGAGCGTGGTGGCAGGAGGAAGAGAACTTCCCAGGTGGATTCTCCTAATCCTGTAATACGTCCAAATATACTTTATAGACTGTTTAATCCAGCAGTGAAATATCAGGGCTTCAGTAAATCAACAGTTCTCATTAGTATTCTAGCGACGGCGAGGCAGAGCTGTGAATCACGGAGGCCTTGGAGTAACTGGTCAAGGGGGAGGCTGTGAATCCAGCTGGGACTCTGCGGGAGGAAACGTGTCGGGAGATGAGCCGCGGTGATGCCCAGCAAACGCTTAATTTGCAGGTGGGCCAAGTCATCTGGCCTGGGGCACGCGGGCGAGCAGGGGAGAACGGGCAGCGAGGTGCTGTAGAATTGGGGAATGGCAGATTCTGACGCTCGGGGGACCTTCCCCTCTTCTTGGGGAGGAGGCGATAGGAACTAAAGCAGGAGTGGCTTTCCGTGGCGGATTCCGGGGAAGCGCTCCCCGCGTCCTCCTTCCTGCCACGCCGGCCGTCACGTAGCTGTGCTATGGTTGTCTTGGTGGGTATTTCCCCCGAGCTGACTTTAAATATTTGATGCTTTAAAAAATGCCGAACCACTTGCCGCTCTCTCTGATGAAGCCGCCTGCGTTTCAAGGGATCCCAGCTGGGAGGAATCGGCTTCAAAGCCGTGCTCTGTAGAGACGGCTGGTGCAGGGAGGGTGGCGAAGCCGCTGCTCTGCACCCGGTTGTGCCGGTTGTGGTCCCCGGTGCGGGGAATGCCGGGCAGCAGAGCAAAGCAGAGCCCCCTCCTGCTTCGCCCCCCGGGTGGCGTGTGCTGGCACGGCGCCGCAACGGCTCGCGCTGCCAGCGTGGCAGGGAAACGTTTACATGCAAATAGAGACATATTTTTGACGAACATAGTTTTAAAACTCCTAAGAATGGCTGTATGCTGTCCTTTGCTGATTTTCTTAGAATGTTTTTTAATTACTTGGCGGGCCTTTGTCCTAGGAGACCCTCTGGTCGGGTCCATGTTCTCCCACCTTCTGCTCGCTAACGAAACGCAGGGTGGGCCTGCTGCAGGCACCGCCACGGAGAACATCGCACTGGGGGCCTTGCTGCGGAAATCCTTGCTAGCTCTTGCCGGCTCCGGCTGAGGGGGGAGACCTGGGATGTCCCCAGGGAATGGCAGCCGCCCCAAGGAGCCCCTCTGCAGGAAGGGGGGGCTCAAAACGCAGGCTTCCCCCCTGCTGTTGGCTTGCACCAATCCCTGGCTGTAGGGATTTTGCTGATAGCTTCCTGGCTGTTGGGGGGAGACGTGGCAGTCCTTCCAGTTGGGGTTTTGGGAAGGGACCCTGCGGCTGGGGGGGATCTGTGGCACGGGGGGGCTGCCAGCCTGGCGGATGCTGCGCCCGGAGCCGCATCGCTGGGTCCAGCCCGCGTGTTCGGAGAGCGTGCATTAGCAGCGCGGCGAAACGACTCTTTTCTTAGCACTAACCTGGTTTGAAACACGGTCCTTTTTCTTGTTAAAGCCTGCGCTAGCCGCTGTGTCTGGTTTTGTACACAAATTAAATCAACGCGAGCCTGTTTTGTATGATGGTGATGTTTGCAGCTCTGGGTTTCTCGTGCCGAGATGTTCTGTGGTAGCCCTGGATATCCAGCTCGTGCTTCCCTTTCACATCTCCCCCTCGCTTGGCTCGGGGCCGTTTCATGTTTTGTCTCGTCAAGGTCATTTCTGGCAATTTCCAAGACCACTTCAGCTCGCTGTGGCTGATTACCATTATTCCGTTAAGTACCCGGCCAGGGTAGCAAATGCAGGGGCTGACAGAGAGCTAAAAAACAGAACTACAAAAGCAATTCTTCCTGGGGCTTTCAGGACCGCTTTCCGTGGGCTCCTGTCCCGCCCCTCTCATAAAACTGTCACCCAGCCTGCTTACAATGGCTGTCTCGCTCCGCAGCTTCGCGTCAAGGTTGGAGGACGGGCTGTGCTGCGGGAGCGGTCCAAGGCCAGCTCAGCCGGGTGCCCGGGGATGGGCAAAGACGCTCGGGTCCCTGCCGGAGCGGGCGGGCAGCTCTCCCCGGGGAACAGGAGAAGGAGCCTTCGCTCCAGAGCTGTTCTCCGGCACCTTGGGATGGGTCAGAACTGGCTCACTCTGCTGCTTTCTCCCTTCATTTCGGAGCAGCTGTGAGTTTTCCCCGAGCGGCGTCGTAGGCGCCGCT